GCTAGGCTTAAGTCGGTCAGTGCATAAGAGACTGCTGTATTTTTGTTTTTGACCAGTTTAATTGCGGATGCACGGTCAGTGATGGTAAGTGTCATGCTCCAGTCCAGATCACAAGTATTGGATCCTAGTATTACTCATTGACCAGTGCAACAGCTGGTTACCATGGAGACGGTGCACAGACCGTGGAAGGACTTTGCTTAACAACATTACTGACATTTGAAACTGAAGTTTGATTCATTGTATGAGAATTGAAAGCAAATTATCTTACTTATTTCTTGCCACTTTACAACATTTTGTCCTTCCGCAAATTGCATTAAATTATTGGCATGGTTAAAAGCAAAAGAAAAATAATAATAATAATAATAATAATAACTTGAACAAATATTATTCTCCTAATGTAAGTCACCTAGGGCTATTTATTGGTATTTTTGATAGTTTTCCTGACTCCTGACTGTCTCCAGCCCACTGACACCAAACTCAATCATACCGTTCCTATACATCAGGGGTCCCCAAACTACGGCCCGCCTCTACATATAGTCCGGCCCCCTGAAAAATACGAGAGAGCGTTCAGATTTTTTTTTTTTTTTTTTCATTTATTGTATTTTCCGGTTTATATGTGGATTTTTCTTCAACCACCAGGGGGCTCTTTAGCAGGAAGTGTGTAAATTGTGGGGCGCATTGCTGCCATCTGTTGGACTTTTAGGGAACTGCTTGACTTATGTTAAGTAATCAGTACTGTTGTTTGCTAGTGGTTAGAGCAGATGAACACACGTGTCTGTTATGAACGCCGCATTCCAGGTTGAATTCTTCGAAGCGATGCCTGTAAGTAGCAGCTTATACTTCAAAACAAGCCTTTATGTTAACATATGAGAAATTAATATATTATAGTTACATTCCCTCAATGGAATATACACCAGTTAGTCCCAGTGACCATTTCACTCATGGTTTTTGCCCATGTGCTTTCTGGGTAAAAGTCAATCGAGAGGAAAAAGTTTGGGGACCATTGCTATACATATTCAAGATTTAACAAAGGTTTGTTCATTTATGATTCATAACCTCATTTATAAAACATCCAATTCTGAAAAACTTCAGAATTGGAACTTTGAAAATTGGTTTTCTTCAAAACGCCCTCCGAGAACACCTCTGAATGTCAACAAAATGAAACAGGCTTTATGGATATGTATGAATTCATCTGCATGCACACAAGACTGTTTTGTGAAGACATTAAACTTGGAGACAAGACTAAACAAGCCGAAAGAAGAAAAAGAAACAAATTTTGTTGCAAGGTTTAAACAGAGGAGTTTCATTGCCTAATGTCAAGGGTCAAAGGAGAAGATGCTCATTTTAACTGCTGCTGCAGAAATGCACGTCGTCTCACGGGCAACCTCATTTACATGATAGCAGAACTGCAGAACAAACAACACGCGACGCTGTCTTCATGTCATGTCTTCATTATGACAAAGAGTGTAAAAAAAAGAAGCCATTAACCTCAGCTTTACTTGAAAACTTTTAATGAATTCCTTGGTCACTTTTATAGAGTTGCTGTCTGTTTGATCTCTGCATGTGTCTCCCGATGCTTTCATATATTCACTTTGACATCCGTATGTCAGCCTCTCCGGGACAACCAACTGGGACCCTAATGTCTAGCAGAGAATACAAAAGGAAAAGTGAGTGCCTTCAATCGACTCAACCAGAGGAAGAGAGTCAAGGTGAATCTTAAGAGTGTTGTAGTGGACTCGAATGGAAAGAAAGAATCAAAGTATGAGATTCATGATTCTTCCTCTGCTGTGACAATGTCATCCTAATAACTAGTGGTTAATAGATTCTTGTGAATCAAAATTAGTTTGGAGGAACAGGAGGTGATTATGTTAAGCTCAAGTCTGTCCCTGAAGGGCACAGGGCGCAGAGCTCTGCACACAGAGGATGTGAAACTACCTGACTTGTCCGAACCCTGAGAAACTCATTACTCTAGCTGTGAGACTGGATCTCAGCAGGCAGAATAAGTTGTCAAAGCACCACTGCTAGATCAAAAGCAACTCCTTTCTTTTCTTTTTTTTTTTTTGCATTCCCCCCTAAACTTGAGTAGTACATCGCTGGAAGGATAACAAGTCACAAAAAAATCTTTTTCACATAATAGCTGTAGTCTTGGGCTGGAGACATCAGGGAGAAGAACAAGTGTGGGCATAGCAACTTCTTGGAGACCTGCACTTAATAGGACAAGCTGTCTGTCCAACTGAGTGTGAGCGGAAAATGAAGAGAACAAAACTCACCAATGTTGCAGTTGTAGGAGGAAAGAAATATGCTGGGATTTTTTTTTACAACTTGCATAATATGATTATACATTACAACTGATGACTGTAAAACATATCATTAATATATATTTTTTTTATAACATTTTCTAAACATTTTCCACAAAACATGCTCTGTTTTATAAAGCTGGTCAAATCAGCTGCTAAATGTATTTATATGATATTAACCTGAATTTCTCCGTTTTCTCTTTTTCATCACACAAAATACTCTTTGTATGAGATCTATTGCATATTTGTCTTAATTTACTCTGCCCCCCCTAAATTTAATCCAGTGCAGCCAATGATCTTCAGAAGTCACCTAATTATAGAGCATTTAGTCAACAACCAGCATCATGAAAACCAACCATTTAACAGGCTTGTTTTTCGCAAACTCTCTAACCAACCTACAGTCTGACCCTGGGGTGAATTCACTGGGAAGTCCATTACTGGGAAAACTGACATGTGTTGAATGTGTTTCCTTTAAGTGGATGAATGTTTTAACAGCTAAATAATGAAAAACAAATGATTAGAAAATGGATTCTTGGCATTTTACCAAGACAGTTATCAGTTGTTAACTCTGCCATGATAGATTTAAACGAGTATCAATCGGCTGGCAACGTTTAAAATTCAACAGAGACGCTCCCCACTAGTGATGCTCAATTAAATGAAGTGCATTTACCAAACGGCATGTTGCTGCAACTTATTATCTTAATTCCTGCAAACGCCTTAGAGACTCTTCTTGTTTTTCACGTCTTATTGAATAACTGATACAACAATCACGCCCTGAAATATAAAACTCTGAGCAAATGATCTTGTGTTACTCACCGCCCAGCTACTTTAATAATCAAAGAGACCGACAGAGTTCCAAGAAGGCCTCCGATGGCGAATATGGACACAGTTACAGACCACAAAAGAGTCGATGTTTCTGGAAGAATAGGTTCCCCATATCTCTCCATCCAGGTCTTATTGTAGAAATCTTTAATGTACTGCAAAACACAAGAAAACAGATTCAGCTGTAGTTCAGGCAAGTCATAAAAAATATACATCTTTAAAATAGCACTGTTATTCAAAATAACACTGATAGCTGCAAATGTTATGCATTTTGCTGTAAATTAGTAGGTTTTTGTTCGGACTCTATGATCCATGTTTACGTTTTTATTTATAGCAGAAGGAACGTTCAATGAGATACAACTGCAAATTGAATTTTTAAATGTTACATGATGACAATAGTTTCATGTGTCCTCTTCCTACAACCATCCCTCTAGTTCCTATATCCACTTATCCTTCCAGATAAGTTGGGTTGTGGAAGCGCTGGTGCTTATCTCCAGCAGTCACTGGGGGAAGAGTTGGCCTGCATCCCAGACAGGTCGCCAGCCCATGACATGGCAACACAGAGACACACAGAAAAAACAATGGTCAGACTTGAGAGCACTTTAGAGTGACCCATTAACCTCATAGTCATCCTTTTGGACTGTGGAAGAAATTCAAAGTACCCAGAGTGGCAGTGGTACCATCTGCATCACTGCACTCAACCTTTTACATGAAGCTGTGAATTTTAAATAAAAATGTTTAGCTGCATTGTTATCCATTTTTGCACCTCCCTTCACGGGGGTTGCCACTTCATAACACCCAGCCCCACACTGCCAAGTCTGTGTGCGCACAGACTTGGCAGGTGTTTTACACTGAACAGGATTCTAACCAGGAACAAGTTTAGCTGTGTGTAATTTTAAAGTGATTTATAAATATCCGCTGAGTTGGCGGATTAGCTAAACGTAAATGCACCGGGCTGATCTGGAAAGCAAAGGTCACCTCTGATGCCTCTGCACAACTGACAATCGTTTCAGAAAATTACTCCTTTCTCGTGCAGAACTGATGAGACGCGGTGGCCGGGTCTCATTAGGAGAACTGAATCGGGTTGGACCTGCTTCATAATCAGGTGCTAAGGTCATGTAGTTATTTGCAAATAATTCTGACAGACTCAATCAGCTGACTGGGCATCGGAAACAAAGACACTTTTGGGCTACTTTTGCTAAAGAGCAAAAGATGGTTGATATTGTAACCGATTGCTGCATCCTACAGATGCACACATTTTCTGTTTGAATTGTTTTGAATTGCTAATGTTAGCTAAAACTTGGGTCCTTCTAATCTGTTATCCGTACAGTCAGAGATTTATTTCCTTTTCAAAATATTTAATATAAGACCATTTTATTAGAAGTAAGTGAAATGATATAGATAAATAGCAAATGATGCCTTATTATGCCTCCTGCCTAGTTACAGGCAGAGTTTCCATTCCTATGCAGCCCTATGTTTAAACACACAGTGTTATGTTAGAAATCTGTTTCTAAACACATTTTTCTCCTCTGATAGCCATAGCTGCAGATCATTGATCACAACCCCTCCAAACAGCTCAGGTTTTTTAGAAAAGATTTACAATGATTAAAAAGGAAAAAAAAGCTTATTTAGATTTGTATCACTCATAAACTTCCATCTCTGTGTAATGTTCAAAGTTTATCCTTTCAATCCACTTTGCTGCACACAAGTTAAAATTTAAAAAAAAGCATTTCAGGCCAAGAAAACGGGGACTAATTATGTATTTAGTTTGAGATGTCTTAACACAGTATTTCTTAAGATTTAATGCATATTTGACTCTTGATTAAAAAAAATTCCTTCATTTATTTTAAGAAAGACCAGCAGCTGGAGATGGACCTGCTGTGCATAAAGACGACCAAATGTTGGTTTATGCTTGCATGCTGTGGTCTGACATGCTGTTTGAAAAGGTTATTGTTGCTTTGGCAGATTGTTACTAAAAAGGCTAATCAAGATCTTTTGTGAGGTTTGGTATGTGTGCATAGAGAGGCTCTCTGCTACAGGCGTTTTATTGTAATAAATTCCACCACTACCTTTTTCCAGTCACCCTTTTCCAGCCGAGAAACCGATGAGAACAGACAGTAGGCTCCCTCTGTGAACATTAGAACCCGGTGTGGTGGGAGAACATAAACTAAAAAGGGGCTTCATGTATTTTCCATGAGTTTTATAAAGACAGCGGAAGCATAGTGGTCCCCCTGCAGTGGTCGACAGAAGTCAGCAATACATTAATGATCAGCTCTTGTTCCTGGTGGGCAGAGACTACAAAGAAAGATAAACAATGAGCAACTGCTTGACACGCTAAAAAGACGGAGGCTTTCTTGCATCTGCAGAACAACAGAACCTGCTTTAGTAGCTCAATGTTTTTCAGAGCAAAGAGCAAATTAAATGTTACAAAGAATTTAAAAAATAAACACCACAAAATGTCAAAAGATGCTAAGGAAAAGTGTATTTGAATAGAAATGTCCTTTTTTTTTTAATAAGTCCACTTGCTCAAGACAACATGAAAACTAAGGAAGCTCAATTCCACAGTTGAGGTGCATCAGTCTTAAAATAGAAATACCTTCGAACTTTATACAAACTGGATTCCAAAAAAGTTGGGACACTAAACAAATTTTGAATAAAAACTGCATGCAATGATGTGGAGATGGCACATGTCAATATTTTATTCGTAATAGAACATAGATGGCAGATCAAAAGTTTAATCTGAGTAAATGTAACATTTTAAAGGAAAAATATGTTGATTAAAAATTTCATAGTGTCTACAAATCCCAAAAAAGTTGGGACAAGTAGCAATAAGTGGCTGGAAAAAGGAAATTGAACATATAACAAACAGCTGGAAGACCAATTAACACTAATTAGGTCAATTGACAACATGATTGGGTATAAAAAGAGCTTCTTAGAGTGTCAGTGTCTCTCTGAAGCCAAGATGGTAAGAGGATCACCAATTCCACCATTGTTGCGCAGAAAGATAGTGCAGCAATACCAGAATGGTGTTACCCAGCGTAAAATAGCAAAGACTTTTAAGTTATCATCATCAACCGTGCATAACATCATCAAAAGATTCAGAGAATTTGGCACAATAGCTGTGCGTAAGGGTCCAGGCCGTAAAACTCTAGTGGATGCTTGTGATCTCCGGGCCCTTGAACGTCACTGCACCTCAAACAGGAATGTCACTGTCAAGGAAATAACAGCATGGGCTCAGGAATTCTTCCAGAAAGCATCGTCAGTGAACACAATCCACTGTGCCATCCGCCGCCGCCGCCAGCTGAAACTCTACAGTGCAAAGAAGAAGCCATTTCTAAGAAAGCTCCACGAGCTCAGTTGTTTGCACTGGGCCAGGAGTCATTTAAAATGGAGTGAGACAAAATGGACGACTGTTCTGTGGTCAGATGAGTCACGATTTGAAGTTCTTTATGGAACACTGGGACTCCATGTCATCCAGACCAGAGATGACATGGTCCGGATAACCCAAGTTGTTATCAACGCTCCGTTCAGAAGCCTGCATCACTGATGGTATGGGGTTGCATGAGTGCTGGTGGCCTGGGCAGCTTGCATGTCTGGAAAGGCACCATTAATGCAGAGAACTATGTTCAGGTTGTAGAACAACATATGCTCCCATCTAGACGTCATCTCTTTCAGGGAAGACCTTGCATTTTTCCAACAAGATAACACCAGACCACATTCTGCAGCAATCACAACATCATGGCTATGTAGGAGAAGGATCTGGGTACTGAAATGTCCAGCCTGCAGTCCAGATCTTTCACCTATAGAGAACAATTGGTGCATCATAAAGAGGAAGGTGCGACAAAGAAGGCCCAAGACGATTGAACAGTTAGAGGCCTGTATTAGACATGAATGGGAGAGCATTCCTATTTCTAAACTTGAGAAACTGGTCTCCTCTGTCCCCAGACGTCTGTTGAGTGTTGTAAGAAGAAGGGGAGATGCCACACAGTGGTAAAAATGGCCTTGTCCCAACTTTTTTGGGATTTGTTGACGTCATGAAATTTTGAAACAACATATTTTTCCCTTAGAATGATGCATTCTCTCAGTTTAAACTTTTGATCTGTGATTTGTGTTCTATTGTGAATAAAATATTGACATTTGCCATCTCCACATCATTGCATTTAGTTTTTATTCACAGTTTGTTTAGTGTCCCAACTTTTTTGGAATCCGGTTTGTATCTGGTCCTTTGAGGTATGAGTTGGCGTGTGGGAATAACCAAACCCATAAGAAAAGTCTTTAATAATAATGTGGAAGATTTATTTATTTTTTTTTTTTTTTGACTTGAATACTATTTTGGAAAAATTCAATTGCAAACATTTAGCTTTTCCAAAGTACGACAAGTGATCTGAAAGACCAATGTAAATAAAGAAGATTAGACCTTTGCTTGTAAGCTGAGAAACTCATCAACTAGACTGGTGACATAGGGTCATTTGTCTGAATGACCCTATAACTGGTTGACAGTAGCAGTAGAGTTGTGCACAACGGTGCAGTTTGTAGCTCCAGTGCATTGTTGGAAGAAGGTGCAAGGTTGAAATACTTGCTCAGACCAAGCTGCGTGCTCTTGATGTACTTCATCTTCCTCCAAGGTCCAAGGTTGACTGGGCTCCCAACAAGTAGTTTTGGTAGTGAGTTAGTGGGTGTGTCCATGCATTGCTGGGTGTATCTGTGTTGTGAGGTCATATTTGGAGAGCCATCCAGGGTGTAGCAGTCTTTCAGCAAAGATCACTGAGGTAGACACTGGCAAAAACTCCAATTATTTCTTTTGTCCCTTGCAGTACACATGGCCACTCTGCTGCATATGCTGAAGCAACGTGTTTGAAATGTTTGAAAAAAGAAAATCCTCAGGAGAATTACCAACTCTCCCCTTTTATGAAAGTTCTTGAAGACTATTATTTTAAAGTGAGATATTCTTATCAGCAATTTCCTTGTATGGGAGAGTATGTTGATGAAGAGCTGCAGGTATTCCTCTCTAACCGAAGAAGACAATCATATCAAGCACATCTGCTCCTCTTTTACAGCAATCAGTCTGCTAATTAGACTGATAAGTGGGTTCAGGTTTCCTCTTTCACATCTTCACTCAGGATTTTGATGCTAATTAATTTCTTTACAATGATTTCATATGAATCTGCTCAGTCTACATTGTCTGAAAATGTGCCAACTGTTACCAATAAAATCAAAAGTCACAAAGATTCGCAGCAAAGTATTCGTGGAAATGTTTTGACAACGACTGCATGTTCTGCTACCTTTCTCTGTATTCTTAATCAGATCGCCGGTTTCCACTCAATAAGTGCCCGCCCCTGCAGTGCTTTGTTTTTGTGACAGATGGTTTTTTTTTTTCTCCGTTATATTGTCATACTTTGGATTTCTTTTCCCTTTTCCCATTTGTCTGTATTTTTAATAATTTTGCAGGTTGATAATTCATCAGAAACCCACACCAATGTAAAAAGAAAAACTGTTGTTTTTAATATTCTGGGTATATCTCCTAAGTTTCAGTTGATTTTTCTAACTTTTGCCAAACTTCGAATTCGTGTTGTCATGTTAAAGCATATAGTTGGTTTCGCTCAACTCTTTCATCTCTTTTATGTGCCGATGGGATTTTTGAGCAATTCATCAAAGTGCTGCAGAGGACAGAATGAAAGTACAGTGAACTATTGAACTATTTTGATTTGTTAGAAGCCACAAGTTTGATAATACCACCAGGAGCAAATGGAGGGTGATACAAACCCTGAGAATACCATATAACGTCACAGCACTGATTCTCAACATTAAACTTTTAATAATCATACATAGTAGGCAGGCTTTCTTTCCTTTTCTAATTCAACCCCCACAGTCTACTATGTTGAACCCATCAATCACAGTTTGCATGATAATATGTAGTTTAATCAACTTATACAGATAAGATCTAATTAAGTGAACATCACTCTTCAATGAACAGAGTTAATTTTTGACTCCACTGAAGAGCTGATGGAGGTTAAAAGCACCACTTCTAAATCAGCAGATGAAAGCAGCATGTACAGTATTATGAAACAAACACCTAAATATGTATGAGACATCATAGTGGAAATTGAAAAGTTTATGAAATTACAGAGCAGATATTACAGTGGGACCAATTGCCTAAAGGTGTGTTGCTTCACAAATTTGCTACACATCAACCTGTTGAGGTATGGACTCCACTAAGACGCCTAAAGGTGTAGAGAGTAATACCTGGCAGCAACATCGTGGTGCCAGATGAAGATACTTTGGGTTATGCAAGTCCATGAATCAGATTTGTTTGTCCATTTCTATCCCACAAATGCTTGGCTGGCTTGAAATGGATTTGAAGGACAAGTTAACCAACTGTTTTATTCTTCAAATAAATCATTATTGCTTTTGGTAGAATGCTATAGAGACCAGAACCGTCAAGCAAAGCTGTGTCTGTGAAACATGGTCTGCAACAATACCCAAGTAGGTGCCATCCGTTTGGCTGTTATGTCACAATAGCAACCAAATGGATGGCAGTCTAGGTTGCTCTGCAGAACATTGGCCAAGCCTAAACAATGCCAAATGCTGTGGATCCTACTGTTCTCCAGGAAAGCAAACTACTCTGTCACCCAGGCGATGTAAAACCAAATTTAATACATCAGGCCATGCAACTGTCCTATTAGACAAAGGAACCTGCTAAGGACATCCTCTGGCAGCATGTGCACTTTTAATGGTGCATGACCATGTATTCCCATATGCAACAAACGGTGATCCACAGTGTATTCTCACACTTCTTTCTTCCGTCAGAAAAAGCATTAACTTCTTCAGCAGTGTGAGCAACACTAGGTTTCTTTCTGTTGGTGTGCATTTCACAGGTGATCATTGATGCAGCTCCCCAGGTGCATCAATGATCCTTGACTGTTGCTTCACACTATTTCCTTGAACGTCTTTTAATAGACCATTACAGACTGGAAGCATCCCACAAGGGCTGCAGTTTGAGAGATGCTCTGACCCAGGAGTCTTTGTGATATCATTTGGCCTTGTCAAACTCACTGACATCCTTATAGTCCCGAAACATTACTGTCTATTTGCCTTTCGTTTTAAAAGGAGTGGGAAGAAAATAACACCTCAGCATCGTCTTAGAAAGCATTTTGACATTGTAGCGTAGCACAATTTGATCACCACATGAATTACTGTCAATGTGTCCCCAGTGTAAGAACCACAGCTCTCCCTATTTTCTGATTCATTTGGTTAAAAATTATCTGACCACTTATAAGACATTGTGGCCCATTGAAATTGTTTTCCTGGAGGTTCCATTGATCTGAAGAGATATAAAAAAAAATTCACTGAGAAAGTAATGTGCTTATGATGAAGCAAAAATCTGTGTTATACACATCCTCTGTCATGATGTTATACAGGACTGATGTATTTTACCAATAGACTTTAGGTATAGTTTTGTTTGTTCTCAGATTTTCATATGCTGCAATTTGTATTTACAATGAAAAAGTAACTGGTTTAAAAAATAGATTACACATAAAAAAATTTTTATGTATTTTGCTGTTAGCCAATACAAAAATGTTCCGTATATATTACACATAAACTGCACATATTTTAAACTATTACAAAGTGCTGTCTTGTGCCAAATGCATTTTAGTACAAGACAGCACTGAATAGCTTTAGCACCACATCTTTTCTCGTTACAGACAAAAGCCATGCATGTAGATGTATATTTTGTATACCATCACAACCAGTATCACAATGACCAGTACAGAAAAATGGTTACAGTCTTTATTAATAAGTGAGACATCATGCTGTAGTTCTACGGTTATAACAGATTGAAAAGCCACAACTGAGGGTTCACACTCATGTGCTTCAAGAAGGCACGAAAAAAAAAAACACAAAGTAATTTTGAGTTATGCGCAGCGTTGATTTTGTCTGTGTGGGCAACCAAAGAGCTGATGGCTGTAATCTCTGAATACTAATTAAATGACCTGTGGGGAATCTAATTACCTTTGAACAAACACAAGGCTAAATTAGAAAGTCTAACCTCTGAACATGCAAGGTTTGTTTCTATTTCTTGGACTGGAACAGAAAAGCTCCTGAAAATTGGATTCACCAAAAATAAGAAAAACAAAAAGACTATGCAAATATTTTTCCACTCGAAGCAATTTCTAAATATATTCATAAGTCACTGTATGAAAGGTACCTGCCTTAAATTGAAAAAGTTGGTTTGAGGTAAATAAGAATGTACATTTTTGGAGTGTTATTTGTTTAATCTGGGATTAAACTTCTGATGCACTGTTTCAAAGACTGCCATGTGTGCTCATTTACTGAAAAAACATATGTTTATGAGCTATATTGTACTAATTAGGTGGACTGAACTCATCTTTAACTTTCTTTCCTTAGTCTGACTCAGCATTGAGAGCTGAGTTAATAAAGATAGATTATACTATTCCTACCTATTGTTTATGTTTCCGGAGGAGAGACAGTCTCACAATGAACTGAATAACATATCACTCGTTGCAGACAAAAGCTCAGCCCAAAGTTACTCACATTTCCTATTGCAAAAGAATGCATTACGTCTAATATTCTAATGGTGATAACATATTATGAATTAGTTGTTGTTTATTTTAAAAACTTACTAAGTTCTGCTGGAGCAAAATGAAGTCATTCACATAAGTGATCATCATTTGAAAGGCACTGATGTGCATCTAAAAAGTCTGCGTCATTAGAGCTTCAGGGTTATAAATTGCATTGAGAAATGGTTTAACGATCTCGGGACCTGCATCAGCTGCAGGGTAAAAGAATATTTCAACTCTGCCCCATGTCATGATGAAGGTCTTTTTAACAGTCTTGATCAAAAATATGGGAAAATGCGCTTTGTGGAGCATCAGTATCACTCCAAAATCTGCACTGCATTGATATTTGTTACCATCATCTATGACAGTTTTCACCAGAACTGTCACTGAGTAAACAATAATCTTAAGACATATGGAGCGAAATTTCATCAATTCATCAATGCAGCTCCCCTCTGTTTAGCTGTGCATCATAAATGGTGTTCAGCATGTGCTGTGTTTCAGCTAAGTTTTTATAGGCGGCTGAAATAAACATTTAAGTTTAATTTCTTTCAGCACCATGTTAATCTTCATTCAGCTGAAGCGTTGGCAACACCTGACTCTGAATCCAAAGTCAGATCTTGATTAACATTTATTGATTTCTAGCAGTGCTAACAAGATAAGAAATGAGAAAACAAGGTAAATCAATGCCGCCTTCCGATAGCAATGGGATATCCAAAGACAAGCTAGTAGTTTAGCTTTACTCACCGAAGCAGGTGCATTGACCACAGAGAGGTTATACCCGTAAAGAAAAGATGAACCCAGGGCCCCGAAGAAGGCTGCGCTGAACAGGCAGGTTGTGAGAGGCTGCTTCTAAGAGAGAAGACAGAAGAGACGAAATTCAGATTTTCATGCTGGCCAAACAGACAAAAGATTTATCAAAGAAAGTCAAGTCAATGTCAAGACCAAACTCACTACAGGAAGTGTTCCTTAGACAATCAGGTCAGAAAACTGGGTTTTGTCTTTTGAGGATTTCGTCTGTTTCAGTTTTGCCATGTTGAAACCTCTAACTTGAGTTATTTGAGATTCAGTGCGGTTGGCAAACACACATTAGTGCATAATTGTGAAACTGAAGGATCGTGACACAGGGATTTTGAATTTTTCTACCAATAAAAACCTAAAATCTGACTTATTTGACCTGCTTTATACTGAAATCCCTAAAAAAAAAAATCCAGTGCAACCAATGACCTTCAGAAGTCAAAACACAGATAACAATTAGTGCTTAAAATTATTTCCTGTTCGGCCTCTCAGTTCACTGCCATCTTCACCATTCTCACAGCTGAACAGAAAAAGCATAATCAGATTACCTCCACAACACTTTTCTACTGCCGCCACCAACATCATATCAGCTTCTGGTTGGTTTCATGATTGCACTCTTCTTCAGGGATCACAGCGGTAAGCTTGTAGTTGCATTTTACCACTAAGGGTACCAGTACATTTTGAGGAAACACACACCAACTTTATTTGTGGGTGAGTATCAGTTTGTCTTATTTCATACTTTGCCGATTGAAATTTAATACATAGGACATGCGTTTGTAATTAGAAACAATCCAGCACAACCAATATCCTTCTGAAGTCACATAATTAGTAGAAAAAAAGAGTCCCCAGGGAGAAAGTTGAGAAGAGGTTTGAAGTTGGGTTCGGTTATAACAACATTCGAAGCATACCAACTCTAAAAGCAATGTCTAATACATTTATTCGATACAACTGCAGACCAGCCAAAACATGGCTCAACACACAAACAGAAATGAAGAAGCAGCCACAAGGTTGGTGATAACTCTTCAGATCCACAGCACAGGTCAAACAAGATACGTAAGGGACAGGTAAAATATTTAGCAGAAGGTTATCTAATCAGATTATTCAAAAAATGTTGTTTTGACTCGCATGCAAAACACTGACTTGTGGTTGCTAAACCAAAACAACTGCCTCCGACATTGGAGCAAAAGGTACTTCTACAAACTGATAACTCGTGGGGCTCAATTTAAATGTACTACAGTAATTTGTGTTACTCCATCACATATATTCCCTATACATTCAACTGAAATTTGTGGTAATAAAGTGATGACATGATTAAGCGTCAAGAAGAATGAATGCCTTTATAAGCCACGGCAAAAACCACCTGAACATGAACTCTATTAATGCTGCTGGTTTATTAATGCTACACACCAGCCCTGAGTTTCTGATGTGATCAAGATGCAATGTTAGATGACTTGTGTTTCAGTTTTAGAAGTGAGAATGAACTCTTATTTTAGACACAAGTGTAATCCTGTACATTATAGCTCACAAAAACCTCTCAATATTCAATGCAGGAAATCAGAGTATTATCCCACACTCCTAGACATGTTGGATGTTGCAAATCTTAAACATCTTAAGATTTATTTAACATATAACTTTTAAAAGATAAAAATGTATCGCCACTCAGACAACCAAAGCACTAAGGAAGTCAAAGTTTTAATGTTTCTCCTAATGGAGGGTGCAGAAGGAAATGCCACGGCATCATTAGGCCATGTTGCTCTGGAGAATATGAATGTACTGAGCAGATTCATGATGCATTTACATTATCACATATTCACAATGGCATTTAGGGAGTAAGACCGTGAAGATGGTGAGGAGTATTAATGAGCGTCGTGACTCATACTTTATCGCCAATGTGTTAGTTATGGCTAACAGTTTTGGCTCAAAAAGGCTCGAGGGATATTTAAATGTTTTAAATCTTCCAGGAACTTCTTCTGAAAAGTATAATACCTTAAATAAAACTGTGAAACTGACAGAAATATAACCCTCTGAAGCCTGATATAGGTGCTGTTAGGGTTAGGGTTAGAGTTGGACATACTCTGTGTGTGCGTTTTTAGGAGGGGGTGACCCCAGAAACTAGCAGCATCAGAACCGTCCACCCACGGTCACACTGTTATTATTGACTCTTCCCATAAGTTTGATTTATTGATAATATGAACACATGAAAATGAAAATGTGTGCTTTATTGGTCCTATACACATGGAACAATATAACACACAACCTGTTGGTGCCTCTCTTTTAATGACCGAAAAGAACACAATGGTGACTGAACCAACTTGAAACTGACAAAGGCAATAAATAAAAATGTATTGAACATCAACGAATGAAAATCAGACATTGCTTTTGAAATGTGGTTCAACAGAATCATTAAAAAAAAAAAAAAAAAAACTAATGAAACAAACCTGGACAAAAATGATGGTCCTTCTTAAAAAAATGCCAAACAATGTGACCACAGGTATGATTCAAGTTTAAAGTTGACAATTCATCAGTGTGCTGGTAGGTGACAAGGTGTAGCCAACCATCCTGGTTGTGAAAATTGATGTAAATTGATGACAAATTCAAGAGAAGGATAGTGAGTGTTAACCAAAGACCCCAAAAACAGCTTCCAAAGAAAGTAAATGTAAATTTCAAGGTTAAGGTGCATCAGTGCCAGATTGCACCATCTATCGTCATTAAGCCAAAGCGAACTTTGTGGAAGACATCCAAGGAAAAAAGAACTGGACCTTGACTGGCCACAATTCATAGTTACGAGCCACGAAGAATGTCCTTTTGACATATAAGACAAAACTCAGGTTATTGGGAAAGGAGATGAAACATGCCATTTGGAGAAAGCAACCTGAGACAACTGGAGCCCACGAGGAAGTGGGCCAAAATATATGTGGATGGCTGCAGAAGTCTCATTGACAGCCACAGAAAATGAATTACAGTGACTGCCTCAAAAGTTTATGCAACAAAATATAAAGTTGAAGTTACCATCTTTTTTATTCAAGCCTGTTTCAATAGATTTTTAAAAACGATTCAGTTTCATAAGAAATGCCTGATTGTCATTGGTTAGTTTTTGGAGAAAAAAAAAACAACATATTATTACTTTTGTTGGTTTCAAGATATTTCAGTGACCACAGTGGGCTTTTTGGGGTACTAACAATTTTGTCCACATTTCTTTAAGTCATACACAAATTTGAAAAAAAGATTTTAAAGAAACAAAACGGAGAGTTAATGAGAAATCTACAAGTGTAATTTTCTTAAAATCTTGTGTGGTCGTACAGCTGCATACCATTACGCTCTTTTCTCCATGCCACAATAGACATTAATATTCCAAGAAACAATTTCAGTATTTCCATTCATGAGTTTCTGTTTATGGTTTGATCTGACCATTTTCCATCAGGGGCTCAGAACTCTAAATGGCAAAGGAGAAGCTGATGGTATGTAATTTTCCTTTAAGCCAATTGTCTTGAAACAGAAATTTCTATTTGCATTGTCAGACTCAGTGGCAGGGCAGAAGAAATTATATGTTTTTTAGAGCAGGGCTGACCAAGAACCTCACTGTGCATTGTGCTACTTTACATGAACAGCTGCTGTGGCTGTGATTACTGCCAGTACAGCCCATTCTTTACCCACTTCTTACCACTGCAAGTGGGATTCCACATTGTTAGTTCCTAGAACAATCCTTTACACATGGGGTCGCTGTGCAGATATTCAGTACTGTGGAGAGGGTAGTTTATAAGTAAAGCTGATTTTATAACACTCTTGCACTGTTTTGTTTCAAAGGTCACAATTGTCTAAATTGCTCGTCAGTATGTTTAACTTCTTAGCATATGCCTGTCACGATAACAAATTTAGCTGGACGATAAATTGTTCCAGAAGTTATTGCGATAATCAATAATATTGTTGTTTTGAGACCATTTTCAAGTGATGTAACGATAATGACAAAATAATAGTGAAAGAGCCCATTCTCAAAGATCAGTAAACTTTAAATTTAAATGAACATTTAACACTGGGAGACATTTTAAATATCCAAAATAAATAATCAAAACAACAAATAAAATGAATTTTGAAATCTTTGTAAACAAAATTGTCCTTCAAAAAAGGGGTGGTTGAGACTAAAGCACCAAAGACTTTTATCCTCCAGTTTTTGGTAGGAAGAGAAAAAAAAAAAGAGATAAACAATAAATTATGGCAATGGAAATAATTGAGTTTGTTTTAATTCATCATGCAATTAATTACATGATTCTGGTAGGAAGAGCTTTGATTTGTCTCTCACCACAGGTCTGGACCAGTTCATCATTTCTATTTCCATACATGTTGTCTCAGAAAGGCTCTCAGTTTAAATTTCAATCCTATAATTCATGGCAGTGTTTATTAGAATGCTGCGCCATCGGTGTAATTACAAGGTCATCGAGTTCTTAGCAGTATTAAAGGAAGGGTCTGGATTCTGCACAGACAGGCCAAAGGGGTGGTGAAACTGAGCCTGCTAGAATGAAGTATGGTAATTAGAGATGTGGGAAATGGGTGCACACTGCAAAGCAAACACAACACAATGACATACTCTATGCACTGTTGGGCACTGAAAATAAATTAAACCGAAGAGCACATGCACACATGGAATAAACAATGGCTTATGGATAGTTTGACACAAAAACTACTTATATTTTAACTTAAAAGGTCATTAAATAACCCTCATAAAGTAACATTTTTAATATTTTATACCTTTTTAATCAAACCAGAATTTTTAAATAAGGATAATGTCTTGTATGTTGTGCATGTTTTATTGCATTTTATCCTCATACACTCTGATCAGGCATAACATTATGACCAGAACGAGTCTGATTGCTCTGGTTTCATACACTCATACACACAGCAAACTGTTCTGCAGTGTGTATTCTGACACTTCTCCAGCAGAACTGGCAGTAAGTTCAGCAGCAATTTCAACTACAGTAGTTTGTTGGTTAGCTCAAACCTTCTCCTCGCTCCCCATATCAAATAGCCTTGACCCCCCTCCCCATGACCCTTTCACCAGTTCACAGTTTCTTCTTTGGACATCCACCTGTGGCAGGTGGATGACCCAGACATCCACCTGCCACAGTTTGTTAAACCCACTCAAATCGTTGTGCCTGACGATTTTTCCTGAATCTAACACTATGATGACATGATGTCAACTTCCTGCCTAATATATGCCACCTTCGAACAGGTGGGTTGAGAAGAGATGATGATTGTTATTCGCTTCACCAGTCAGTGGTTGTGTTACTCCTGATCAGTGTATTTATTCATCGGTTCTATTAGTCATTTATAAGGCGCTTCATCGACCTCCCTGCTACGCTCACTGTCTGTGGTCATGTTGTTTTGCCCCTGTTCTCTCCGTGTTAACCGATTCGCCTTCTCATTGGGTTTATCCTAGTTTGGAATTGTGTTTCCTGAGGTCAGGAAGATGACCATTGAGATGTAACTCATTTATCTTGCTTGTTGTGCTTGGGTTTTTTCAAAAAATATGTATCCTTCTTCAGAACAACTATGTAGCTTTTCAGTGGACTGGGCTCTGACAGCAGTCCTTTGGCAAAATGAACCTAATTTAATCCAATGGAAGTAAAGCCCACTCCATATTTATAGGCTTTTGCTTAAGATTTGAATAAAGCCTTCAAATGAATTAATATTTTACTGCAGTAGCAGCATATGGCATTAAAAATGCAGAGAAATTTAGTCTTTTGTTCGAGTACGTTGTTATTCGCCAGGTGAGGAAGACGTGGGTTTTTGTGCATTAATAATGTCTGACCTTAACAATTTCTGTAACTGGATAATTTTTTTAATACATATTGAATTTGTTTCAAGACTGTCTGCATGTTACGAAAGATCTAAGTTGTATTCCATGGCTGTCAGGATTTGTGATGCCCATTTCGCTTGTACTCTCTCTTTAAATTGAAAAAAAAAACCCTTTTCACGTAAAGTGGGCAGTTTTTCAAAGGCCATTTTCTACAGTAGGTGAGTGTTGGTGTTAGACTTGTCGCTACATTGGATTTTAATGTGTCATTACATGATGCCAACTGCAGACATGACCTTCAACAACAAGTTACAAGTAGTTCATCAAGTTAATGGATGACATCAGTTCACTACAATGGCAGTTTGCAGTTTTGAAAAATGTATGTATTGGCCTATAAAGCGGTCAGTGGCCTAGAACTGAAACATGTTTCTGATTTGTTTGTCAAATATGAAGTATCCTCCTTACACCTTTAGAAACCTCAGGACTGAAATTAAACAAGGTGAAGTGGCATTAAGTTTTGATAGACCTTATCTCTGGAACAAACTCCCTAAAAATCTGAGCTGTACAGAGATGTTCCTCTAAATCAAGACTTAAAACGCCTTTGTTTACAGCAATCAAACAATCTGACAACTGGACAGTTAGATAATATGAGATTGAAAGTTAGATTTTGATTTAAAATGGGCATTTAAATATTTATTTTAATATATAATACTTTTATACAATGCTTTTAATGGTTTGACATTTGACTCTGTTTCAAGAAATGTCTTCTCTTTGCCTGTGGTGTCCTTCAGGGCGACTTGGATTGATTGCCCTCTGTAATAATGGAGCTAATAAATAAAGTTGCCTTGAATCCGTAGTAAGTGGCTCGGTGGATGGATAGAATACCAAAAATTGAACTGTGAGATACTTACACAGTGCAACTAATGGAGGTGAAAGCTTAATTTTAATTAAAATATCATGAACCAAGTTAACTTAAAGGGTGTTCGCATTCATCTGATCAGGTTTCATGAATGATTTCTATTTCTCATGCTTTTCTCTCAAATGTGTCCATCTTGTTCAGATGGATTGCACAAAACAAACAACACATCACACTTCTTATTTATCTTGGTCTCATCTTTTCAAGCTACAAAAGCCTGACATTTTAACACGGTGTGTAAACTTTTCAGATCCAAAGCAGCTTAACAGCTCCACTCAGCAACATCCTTGGAGGAATTTATGAGCGACTGGGTTGGAGTTGTTAATGAAAGAATCACAGGATGTGCTCCTAGATCAAAGCTTTAATACTTATAGATGTCACAAGTTTTGGAGGCTAAGATGAAGAGAGCCCTTATGAATAGCAACAGTATTAATGAACAAACACAGATGGTCATAAAGAGAATAATAAACATGTCTCCTGGAAGTGTGATTTAATTTGCCTGAAGCAGAAATGCATTTTACCATAGCAACAATATAATCTCATTTGAATATTAATACAAGTCATCATAAAAATGATCATTTTTATGATGGTGGGGCAAATCTGTTCAACCTTTAAAGAGCAAAATCGGGGCAAAAATATGGGTCCAAAGTATCAAAAGTGCAGTACAACACAGAAACATACAAATGTCACACACAGCGCCTGTTAGAGTAGGTTGGCGACACACCTGAAAGATAACAGCAACAGTGACCTACATAGCGCTATAGGTGCCTTGCTTGGAGTCCATCAATAATCGAGCAGTGGAACATAATTCTTTGGGAAAAGAAATTACCATTTCAGGTCATTTGGCGCTTATCAGAAAAAATAACTTCCACCTGTATCAGGCTCACCTTTTCAGGGGTTTTCTGTGAGTCGTTCATTTTGTGGTCAGCCTGGCTGTCCTGCTTGTCCATGATGGAGTTTCAGCAACCTAAAACGAGAAGGTCACAATACATCATATGAGAAACGTCGCTGCTGGGGAACACCCACGGTGGCACTGGGGTCATTTCACAACAACGATTGGGGAAGTAAGATTTGTTTTTTTTCTCTCTTTTTCTTTTTTTATGCAAGCTGCTGATGGAAACATCTGCTGCAAAGGAAGTGACTGTGCGTGCAGAAGCTTGCAGAAAGCAGCTCAGGATTATGGAATCCTGAGTTAGTGCCCTCCGTGTAAAGTTTTAATGAGATTCAAATAAGAGATAAAACCCAATCAGACTACAGCATGAATCACTGCCTGTTTCTAACCTTCAAATAAGAGAAAATTAAAGATTTTGTCAGCAACACGGTGAGGAAAATCCACGGATGTCCAACGCATTGGATAACAGAGTGACTCTGCCCCCTACTGGATTTAAGTGCAACAACACTCCAACGCTGAACAGTGGAAGCTGGCCTATCCGAATTTACAAGTTGATCTCAGTGATTAACTATGTTGCCAAAAGAATATTTCTTTCTTTAATTTAATTCCAAGAACCAAATTAACAAATCATATAGATTCAGTACACACAGAGTAAGATATTTTAAGCATTCATTTCAATAAAAAGGGATTTTTAATACAGAAATGCTGCTGTAATGGAAGATAAAACACTTCTGACTTTCAGGTCAGATTCACACAAGACAGACAGCTACAGCTCATTTCCTGGATATGTTTGTATGTGGCTTTTCAAGAACAAAGTCTTGCTGCTGTCAGACTTTGAGGATCTTCTCAACAGTTTTGGGGGCTTTGATTTGTAACCATGTAGGGCACATGTGTCAAACCGAAGGCCGAGGGGCCAAATCCAAAGCTTTTTATGTGGCCCTCTAGACTCTAATGTGACACATAAAAGAACTGTCAAAACAAAGGAGATGCTTAAATCAAAGCAGCTTTTATCTATTTACTGCTTCCCGTTTCTTGCAAATTATTATGGAAATTCACACAAAACCAACGAATCCCTGCACTTTTTCGCGCCAATACATGATTATGAGTTTATTGCAGATTTTTGGATCTAAGTGACTTTTTACTTTTCTTACTTCTACTAAGCAGCTCCTTAAGATTTACTTGATGTCAAGTTATATAGTGATAGGGTAAGTAATAAAAAGCACAAATATTTCTAAATTAGTACCCAAAACGCCTTGATTTTTATTGCAAAAAAAAAAAAAAAAATCACAAAATCCTTTAAGGACTGGATATTTAATTTTAAGAATTTATTTATGTTTTAACAGTTTTGGGTTTTAATGCCTCTGTAAATTCCAACAGAAATAAATTTGTAACACCTAATTTATTTCTCATACTTGTTGCGAAGGAAATTAATACAAAACATTCCTTAAAATCTGCATTTAGGAATCACTTGTTACTCCTGGAATCCTTTTGTGTACCAAATTGTATTTAGACACACTCATTCACATCCCTGACGAAATTATATTACATAACAAGTGAGACTTTGAACTTCGGCCACGACCAGAAACCCTCTGCTGCAAAACCAGAGCAGCTCATGATACATGAGCAGCAATAAGTGTTAATTGTTTGATGAAAAACAATGTTGATAATGTAAGACTAGCCTACATTTCAAGAAGAATACCAACCATAAGTGAAACGCTGAAACAACCTGAGATAACATGCGTCAGTTGGCTAATGTTTGCTTAACATGAAGCGGAAACCATCAAAAGTCAGGAGTGTTGACTTTAGCATTCCCCCTAACCAGTAATCACTCCGTCATCATGATGCTGCTGGAAAGAAAATCCATGTGCTTTAAAACACAAGTGCAAGGTAACCAATTTCCTGTACACTTTACATAATTTTAATGTTTTATATTAACCTGATGATTTTTTTTTTTTTTAACTAAAACCTGCTGTATCACTTTCCAGTTTACATGCAGTCGTCATGGATCTTAATGCAGTTTTTACATTGGAATGTTTTTGTTTCTGAGGAATGATTTAATAGGCAACTTCAGTGGTTGGGCTAACAAGGTTCAATTTAACATTAAATCTACAGAGGTCCAGAATTATACATACAAAGTGAAATATTAATAAATATCACCAGTCAAGTATCTGGATCCGGTCCCAAAGCAAGTCCTAAAGATACCACACATTAAGCCATCAACACGGTCCTGGAGTGATTTTTGACGTATTTCAAAGGAAAACTCAAATGAATGTGATATTTATGTCCATGTTGAATTTATCCAAACTTTAGATTAGAGCTGTAGTTTTTCCCTTTAAATAAAAATGTCAGACAACTGTACACAATTACTCAAGATAAATCTATACGAGAGCTTCATTGCAGGAGAGTTTCAGTCTCTTTAAAGATGTACTAATTTGAGAAAGTAACATTCCCACTGTAGCTTAAGCTGTACATGTACTACAATGAAATCTCTTGAATCAACTCTTTAAAAAAAAAAAAAAAAAGAAGAAAACATCCTTTCAACTCGCTGGAAGCAAAGCTGCAGCAAACCTAATTTCTCTACATCTACATTTCTAAAGGCCACCTTTTCATTCTCTTTCAAGACAAAGTAAGTGATTTTTTTCTCCTCTCATGGTTTCCATCGACTGGGTTTACATTCAATCTAAATACTTGCAAATGAAAGGGCTCCCGCATTGACTGATGGAGTAAACAAACGACAGAGAGTGATTCAAAGTTGCTCTCAACTTGTGTAACACATAGTGTGAGCAGAAACATGCAGGAGTATGAAAATTCATATAGCAATTAAATTAGAATTTAGTGCCACACAAAAAAAAAAAAAATCACACAACATGAAACATAACACGACAACAGGAGATAGTTCTCAGTGTTTACATAATATATAAACTAGAACCACAACAGATCTAAATGACGTTAATACTGTAAATTCATCATCTGCTTCCTATGTCTTACAAAAAACACCACCACCTTCTAAATGTGTATTAAGTTTATATATATAAAAACACATTTCATTCACTGACTTCACACTATAAAAACACACTTCCTTTGTATGCATAACAACAGACCGGAAACTAAAAGTAAAAATATGCATACAGACATTGTGCAGCAGAAAATGACATAACGTCTACAGAACAAGAGTTAGAATAATTTACCAAACTGGATCACCTCTACATAAAGTTCCCAGCCCAGTAGAGTGACTGCAAAAGTTGAGATCCGCCGGGTTTTCTGTACAAATTAGAGACACAAGCAGGTGCAGCGGGTGTATTTACCCGCTTACATACTGTGCAGCCAGAGCAACAACTGAAAGAACTGCCCTCACATTACCTATAAACGTGATAACGCTGAGAAATTATTAACTCTGGGAATGTTCGTCCCTTTTTGTTGGCTCGTAATTACAGTCAAGTCAGCTGCATGCCAGATAAGTGCAAAACTAAAAGCAGCATTTCCATCAGTTCACTGTTTATGAACAAATCTCTATCCCATCTTGTATAACAAACGCCACAATGCGAATAAGTGTTCACATGAAATGAAAGTCAAAGCTAAATGGGATTTTTATGAGATATTACATTTTAAAAATCATTGGTGTATGCTCACCTTTCATCATAAAAAAATACATTGAACTCATTTAATCATAGAGTTCACACAGTTAGGACATATGTGAATAAAATTGTAGAGATGTTCCTGGTTGTAAGTTATTTAATTTGTTGTTGTTTTTTTTCTTTTTTGGATGTTTTCTGAGATAAAAAAAAATAAGTTATACTTGTTTTGATCTGATATTCTACCGTGTTTGCCATTAATCAGCAACGACCAAAGAAATTTCTAAGCAAATTTACAGGAAGAGTATGTTTTTGTGTGCGACTCCAAAACACTTACAGAAATTAGGATTGCAGTGAATTGTGGTTCTTAAAAAGCATAGACTCAAGATAGTGAAAACAAATGCACACACTTTTCAAAAACTTGTAGGATAAAAAAAACCCACTGGGAACACAGGGAGCCAGAGCAGAACAAAAACCATAAATCCAAGGAAAAAGCCAGCAGGGAACACAGGGAAGAAACTGGGAAAATAACAAGAGGAACCAGCAAAGAGTGTGAGCAGGAGATGGGTTTAAATACTGTGAGGGTAGATTAAAGTCTATAGACAAAGCAAAATGGAAAGGATAATTAGCGTTTTGCTTGCAAGTGATACTAAAGCAACATTTCTCCTTTGTCCGAGACTCAAACTTGAAGAAAAAACATGATAAACTCTCTTTAATGCATGCAAACACTGGGGTTGGAAATGAGAACAATAGCTGAATCAAGAATCTCTATAATTAAGCCCTTAGTGCAGATGTCTGTGTTCTCTTACCTTGCAAAACATGTGCCAAGAGCATTTTGTCACAAAGGGGGGAAAAAGCTGTGAGGACTTAAAGGATGAACACACAAATGCCATGCTGGTAGAAAGGCTCCTGTTTAGTCTGCAGGAATAATGAAGTCAGATCAGTCACTATATCAGGAGCACAAATAATGGCCCCTTCATTAACACAACCAGTCAAAGTCCAGAGAAGACCCCAGGAGCGATGGCTTGCAGGTCGGAGCAGAGAAACAACAAAAGGATTACACGTCAAGACAACGTGCACACCGTCGTCCCACCGAAACATGTTAGAAAATCAGCAGAACAATCCGTCTGCACGAGTGGAGCTGTTACAGAAAAGCAGCAGAACAATTAGAAAAAAAAAAACTTTCTCCTCTGGCAACTTTTCTCTGATCAATGGCTGCTTTCTTCTCTGTCCATCCCACAAAGATTAGGTTGTCTGACACACAGCCAAACATGTGAACCACAATTCTCCACTGTGAACACAGTAGGAGAGAGAAAGGTCATGCACTGTATGTAGTGTGAGGTTCTGAGTCGTCGTTGTCTGTCTTGTAAAGAGCTCTGTGTAATGAGAGGCAGCTCCTCTGGGACGTCTCTGGAGTTTAGGTAACACCAGTCTTGGGTTACACTCAGTGTGAGGGAAAGACTTTGAGAGAGAAGGCGGCTCGCGTGATCTAATTCTGCTTTATTTTATACAAGGCATTAAGAAAATATTCACGTCCTTAAAGCCCCCACACATTTTGTCACGCTACATTAAATTTCAATTTATTTTAAAGAATCTAAGATGAGCCAAAAGTAGCCTAAAATTGCTAAGTGGAAGGAAAAAAACAACTCGATAGATCTAAATAAAATGTGCCACCGCAACTGCAAAATCTACTGAGGGATGGTCACCTACTTGCATCAGACAAGCAGCCAAGAGATAGAGGATCTGTTGACTAGACAACTTTTAGTCCTCAAATCTGGACTCTGGAGAAGTGGGAAGAATATAAATGCTAAAAAAAATTTAAAAAAAGTCCTATTTCCAGTTTTCCCACAAAAAAAAGTAAACATTTGACAGAAGTTGTTTTCACTAACTTTGCCTGCCTCAGTGTTTTTTGTTCTAAGACCGCAAACACTGAATTTCTTTCCACAGCGCACGTCTTTAATCACAGACATCGTTAAACATTAACTTCCCTTGGACGGCCAGGGCGTCCCTGACTCCTACAATTCAACGTTTTACTGAATTGTAGGACAAACTCCGAAGCTCCGACGAAGGCATTTGACAACAGACTCGTTGACTGTGGAACAAAACTAGATTTGAATAAAATATAATATTAAATAAATAAATAAGTAAGTATAAAAGAATAAAAAAGGAAGCTTACACCTTCCGCTGCCTGGACTCTCCCTGTCCCGTAGAAACCCCAAACAAAAACCACTGTAGGCATCTAATTAAGAAGGCAGCATTATCACATGAGAACTAGCTGGCTAACTTAATTTACTGACTCTGGATTTGAAGCAAATGCGATTGGAGACACGGCGTAACCAGAGTGCAGCTAAGGGAGCCCACCTACGTAACATTTAATTCAATCACTTCCCCTGCCAGCACTATGCAGGCTACTGCTACTAGCATAATTGAGGGCTTAAAAATCCATTAATAAGCACAGACCATTGTCTAATTCCTGATAAATAGTTGCAGTGTAAGCATGACGGTTTAATTGTAACTATAATTTGGTTTCAGCAGACTTTACACTTGAGCAGCACGAATATAAATATTCCACTTGCCTTTTATATGTTTGCAGGATGCTGCAGGACTCCCAGGACGGCATCTTCTGGACACAAGTCCGCGGTGTTAAGAGTCAACTCTGTTATTTCAGAGAGCTGTGGGAACATCCGGGTTCTACCACCCAAAAGTGATGCTCACGCGCTGAGCTTCCTCAGATTGTTTTACTGGGCCTCCTCTGGCAGCAAACTGTGCAAAAATATTATTAAGATAAATAGTACAACCCTTTCGCAAACTTATAGATGCTGTCCACCTTGAGCAACAAAGTACTACTGCGCTAAAGAGAAAAAAACAAAGTAAAGAGAGCGGCACTCGTGTGTTTTCGTTTGGTATCAAAAGGTTTGTTTTGTCAAGGAACATACTAACAAGCTCTAAGTCAAAGATAACACAATTTGCCAGGGTCGTAATTTAGCATTTTTTGGGATATTTTAACTGTTCTGTTTTGGAAAATTATCTTTTCTTGTCCCCCAGCTCATTTTTTTCTGTACTGATTTGTGATTGTTACCACCAGTTCACTGTCGTCTTGCAGCTGAGCTTACAGTCCGAAAACATGATTGCTACTAAGTTAATTGGTCTATATAAAAAAGAAATACCCTTACGTGTGTGTTTGTGTGTGAGGTTGTCTGTACTGTCTGTGTCCAGGCTGCACCTGCAAACCCTGCAAAGATAAACAGGTAAAAACTTATTCTCATTTTTTCCAGCTGAAATTTGTTTTTCAAACTGCATAATGCACAAAAAATAAGTTTTCTACCATACTTCCGTGAGGCATATCGTGCATTAAATATTACTCTGTACCTGTTGATCAGTGCATCACCACTTCAAACAGTTTTTGCCAGCGTCCTGATTTGAATCTGTGTGGAGGGAGCTTAAAATTAGAATAGTTTAATAAAATGCAAGGAAAGAAAATTGATCAATATTAAGATTTTATCTTAATATTATAGTAGATGTGTGTCACATTTTTCTTCAGTGACAAATTTCTTGGTTGAACTGAAATAAGTTTGAGCATAAAACTTTTGGAAATCTTGCTTATTCTTGCCTGTATTTTAATATTTATTGCAGCAGCTAGTGAAAGCCCTCTAGGCTGAATCCTGTGACAAAGTTAAAGTTGCCTGAGAATTTCTAAAGCTTACAGCGGCATTTGTTGACAGTTTCGACAGCAGAAATCTGTCAAAATACTAAGACTTTTACATTATGTTCTTGTTTTAAAAATCCACAATTCTACAAAAAAAATCCCAAACTAATGAATCATTTTTTAAATGCATTTCCTTCCACAATTACAAATCAAAGATCAGTCTAAAATTACTTTGATCTTGTGCATGAATATAATAAAACTTTAGATTAAATGAAAATTATGTATCCAGTTTACAGCACACAGCAGCAATCATGTTGAAAGACAGTTTGATTCCACGAACATCTTATCACATTGTAAAATTTAGACAGGGGTGGCAATTTATGCTGCAATGATAAAATATTTGTCTACTGTGCACCTTTCACTGCGCTTACTACTGCATTTAGAATGACAGCGGTGTAAATACAGTCATCAGTAATCACTGGGTTAAATGTCAATGGTAGGTGCTGTAAATGTGAGGTAATCTTCAGTTTCCTCTCGATCGGATAGGGATCGTGCCGATACACGTTCATGAAGCTTTTGAAATCGACTGAGCCATTAAATCCTTGCATCTATATAGTTTTATCAAGCAGCTCGGGTAAACAAACAAAGATAAAGGATGTCATTGCTACCATATCGAATGTTCAGAGTGCTGCTGACTAAGACAGCCCCACCCAAAACAAAAAAAAAATCTGTTTTCTAGCAAATGTAAAACTGGAGTGAAAGCAATTTAACAAAATATTCAGACATCGTTATTCGTATATCAAAGCATGGAAGCACTCAGTTTGCATTCCTGAAACATCTGCACACATCTGGGTTTACAAATGACTCCAGTTCAAATGTTTGCAGAAGTTTCTCCTGCTGGGTCTGGTTAATTACAATGAAACTAGCATGAGGAATGTTCGGCTAAAGCAGTTACAGAAAATGTTTTAGGTAAATTTAAGAATTTAAACTCGCATAGATACTTTGAAGACATTTCAAGAGTTTAGTTCCGCTACATTTTGATGATCGACTCGCAGGGCCAACCAGTTTCTCAAAATCAGGTTACACAATTTGATTTTGTAAAAAGGATCCTTTTTACACGATTACATTTTTACACAATTACAGAATCCTTTTATTCTTTTAAGAATAAAAGGATTCTTAATACAGATCTGGAGGAAAGTACTGACGCGAGTTATGCAAGTTGCAGAATCTAAAGATGTTGGGGGCAGAGGGTCATACTGGAAAGTTGAATGGAAGAAACACTAGAAAATGCGTTTTGAGGATTCAAAACCAAATTCATTTCAAAGGCATGTACTTCAGGAGCCACCTCAGAGGATCATAGATTCTTTTTGAAGTTTTCACAAATGGCTCATAGCATCAAGACAAAAGGGATCATCTGCAGTTAGCAAAATGCTATGGCATGAAGAACATGTGTAGGTTATCTGCATTAAAGTGTTAAGAGTAATGCATGAGAAGATGAGTGCATAAAAAGTTACCTTTTATTATCATAATTAATGAACCAACTTCCTCTTTAGACACCGATTCATAAAGACAAAAAAAAAAAGCAAGACAAGCTAAACACTAACAAGACCTAACAGAAAAGACGGCATTCTGATTGTATTCCTTATTCTCTCATTTCCTTAATGCTTCTGATCCCAAAGATCATTAAGTCAAAGTCTGAATTTTGAAAAAAAAAAAAAAAAAAATGCACATCTGCTGCAGGGACCAATTCATTTCAGGAATGTAACCAAAATGTTTTATTTCATTGAAACATGTTCTGTTCTGGTAAAAAGCTCATTGTTCCTCCTTAAAGGGCCCAATGCACAGAAAAGCATTTTAGTAAACTATGGAATGATTACAAACATGTTTGCGTCCATGTAGAGCTGTAAAAGCACTCATGGTTACATTTCATAATTCAACATTTCACCTGCATGTAGACTTGCGTTAAAACTGTTTTCTGGATGCCATCACTAGCATAACCATTTACAAATCAGATGTTACAGACAGCATAGACCAAAGTTTTGATGTTCAACAGTACATTAAGGAGAGAGGAAAAAAAGAAAAAAAAAAAAGAAGAAAGAAAAGCTTGATTTCTACAGTAGTCCTTGTCCCTGGAGATGTGAATGTTTTGCTTGCAGCTCAGTATTTAATTGTCCACTGCTTGACAGTGGCATCGTGGGAGGTGGTGACTAGAGTGTGAGCGTCGATCCAGGCCAGGCTGCTGACATGGTGCAAACGGTGAGCATCTGCAGACATCAGTGCAAGAAAAACTCATTACAAAAAAGGCCAGCGTAACAAAGAAACATGCCGTCACAGTTTAGTAAATCTTTTTTTAAATTCAGTCTGATCAGTAATGGCAATAGCAGCATCTTGATCCTGTGGGTTCCACAGAAAATCCTAAAGTTTGTGGTGTTACAGCTCCATAATAAAGATTTAAAATAATTAAAGATTTTTTTTAAGTCAGCGTCCCATTATTGGCACTTCAACCAGTGCCAATAATATGGCAAAAAAAAAAATTAGTGCAATAAATGAGAAAATTGAGTCATTTTATTTACCCTTTGGTCGATTCAGTTTATTCTTGACTTGTCTTTGTATTACTTTTAGGTTAATTTTATAAATGCACACTGGTCTGTTTTGTTCGTTTTAAAAGGTGCTTAATGAATAAAGTGGCCTGCTGCAAGCCAGACTACAAATGTTTGCTTTATAAAAGTTATTTTTAAAGCTGTGAAAGTTTCTATAGAAGCCTAATAAATGTTCCTTCAGTGACTACATGCAGCTTTATAGATGCATGGAGAAACGTGTGGACCTGCAGAATTTACTCTCCAGGTTATTTTGCTTGCCAAGCATTCCTTGTGCTATTCACAGGCTGGAGCCGCAAATCATCAAGGTAACATGACGCCATGCTATCATTTGTCATGCAAACTCCATTTTTGATGCCAATTAATTCACCTTTACACCTTTGACAAAGTTGTTGCAAGCAATACGATCAATTGTCTGACCATAAAGATCAGCTTTGTACTTGCAGAACATCTGAATACAAATTTGCGATTTAAACCAGCAGATTAAGACGAGGCCAATAAAGTGGCACAACTTAATCACTAAAACACACCTTGTAAAAAGTGCAGCAAGAAATCTGAGCAGAGTAATCATTTGAATTTTTATTTGCTTTGCAGGAAAATGCGCAACAATGGTTCCATTTAGGGAGCTGCTCGTTTAATCCTTTAATGCAAAGCTAAACAGCAAATGTTCATAGGTGTGCAAATAACTAGAAAAGCCTCCAAACTAAAATAAGTGTGCAGCTTAATGTTGGCAAATATATACTATATATATTAAAATGGTAATAAAAAATATTGCATGCATGCATGAGACTAGCATGCTTAGGTTTGCAGGTTTCTCACTAACCGGGAAGTTTGATCCTTGTGTCTGCATCACCAACGGTCCAGATGTAAACCATCATGTCCATCCCACCAGTTGCAAAGTGCTCATTGTCAGGTGACCAGGCCAGACTCACTGGTTTGGCATGATGGCCATAAAACTCATTTTTTACCTGGATGGAGAAAAAAATTAAAAAAGCAGCATTAAAATTAACATCCCATACTGAAAGACCAACTCAGCTTTGCGGGATAAGACCAGTTTTACCGAGTAGCCGTCTGCCACAGAGTAGGCCGTAGCGACCTTCTTATCGTCGATGACAGCCAAGTAGGCGCCGTCACTGGAGTAGGCCATGTCGGTTATGGACCCTTTATTCTCAAGAGTTTTACCCTCGTCCTTCAGCGTGTTGCCTTGAATCGAGTAGAGGTGGACTTTTCCATCCTGAAGACAGGAAACATTTTACAAAGTAATGACAAGATCTGATAAAAATGGTACGGTGATTAAAACCACACAAGTCTAAAAGCATTCTCAGAAGCAGCAAAGAGTCTTTTCTAAGATGATTTCCACTCACGTTTCCACCAACAGCAGCAGTGGTGCCACCAGGATGGATGACCCCAACCTCTGCTTCATAGCCAAGATTGTCCAATGTGAAGACTTTCTTCTTGTCCTTCAGCAAGACCAGCTAAGAAGAAAAAAAAAAATTTAATCACACTAGTCTTAAAGGTAACAATGAGTTTGAAGGTAACCACAGCCAAAAGCAGAGGACATTACCTGACCGATGCACACAGCCAGAGTGAACCCTCCTGATACGGAGACACTCTTAGGCTGGGAGTCCATCTTCACCACATCAGAGGCACTGCAAAGCCAGCAGAC